CCAGCGTGTCCCACCGAACCTGGTCGGTCTGGTAATGTTAGGCCAGAGCTGTGAGTATAACCACATGCACCGGGCTATGATATTATGGGGGTCGACAAGATATCCGATTGTGCTATGAGCGTGGCGGTACTAAATCGATTGTAAACGACTTCATGTTTTGTCGGGGAGACGTGAGTATTCGAGCAGCTATCACACTGCGAGGTATTGAGTCCTATCCCTACCCGACGTAATGATTTGAGGCCTTGGAGCCCCAATCATACAGTAACTGTTGTGTTCTTGTTGTTACCCTTCGGTATACACGCACATATGTCCGCATATCCGCATATTCGGTTTCAAACCCGTCAAAGTGTGCGTCCGAGGATGGCCAGAATGGTGGAGAAGATGCTTTTCGGAAAGAAGTGGTGTTTTGTGTGGAGTTGCAGAAGAAAGTGAGGCTGTTGTCGTTGCAGCCACCGAGACTATTGGGACTCGGCACCTCCTCCCAGGCAGTGTGGTCTGTCCCGACGCGAGCATTGCAGTCACCAAGGACAGTCAACATTTCCGCCTTAAGCACAATCGCCAGGAGGGTGTGTAGGTTCTAGTAACATTTGTTCTTCGCCTCGTTAAATTTGGTGATTAGCGGAACGTAGGCGCTGTTAACGATGGTGGCGAATTTTACTCTCCATAGCCTTCATAAAAAATGATCGCAACCTACCAAATAGACAAATCATGTAAAGTTGCCTGTTTACGTGAAGATTGACTTGTTACTCTTAACGAAAATATATTGCCTTTAGCCCTCAAGCTGTTGCTTATTCACCGAGTACTGGGTATTGCATTTTACGTCTTTCTGGGTAGAGTCAGTTCAATGAATTTTCCTCTATGTTTCTCGGCCTATACCACCCAGTTTTGAAACTTATTTTCGGAAGATTCTAAACGCTCTCAGCAACCAATCATTTTGTATAAATTTCGCAGGAAAAAGAACCTCCTTAAGAATGAAGTAACAAGTACTTTCAGATCCTTTTCCTTATATGAGCGTACAGGGAAGAGTATTATGTCCTCTTTTAACAACTAGTTTCTGAGGCTCAGGCTTTAACAAATACACGCTGATGCCGATGTAGGGGTTTTAATACGATGGGTTCTGTCTAGCAGCAGAGTGTCCCATTTCCTTTTCTAGCTAAAAATATCCTGAGATTTTATGATATTTTGCCGTCTCAAAAGTTCCTTATTGCATTAAGCTGGTGATTGTTATGCGCCCTCTAAAAGCGACCCTGCAAATAGTAATATCTCAATATCATTTCTATTGGTTTACGAAAAGCTCGACAGAACTGGATTATCTAAGTTATCCTTAGGTTAATCAGTCTGTTTTTTTCCATTTACTGTGCCCACCTTTACTCTGGGTTTATGTTGTCTCGGTATGGGCTTATCTTCGGTCTGCGTATGATAAGAAAAGATAGGAACCATAGAGTTTCTTTTTAAGTGGAATCGCCTATAGCCCAAAATACTGAAAGAAAAAATGGTATTTTGAACCCTTAGAGCGATTTCGCCCTTTGTAATGACAACTACTGAGCTTAAAATATCAACCTTGAATGCGGACTCATTTTCTGCAAAATTACTGTGCATATAACAAAGACCGTATTAGCGCGTGCAGTTTGCATCTGACACATATGCCAATGGCTAGGCACTTTCCAGAGTTACTACTCTAAAAATTGATGTCAGTGCTTCTTTAGATATGGAAGCCTTTCTCCCTAAATAAAGTGACTTAAACCAAATATGATAAACCATAGGAGTTTTAAGTGAATGTGAAAGAGGGCGGGATGTAAGTTGGGGGAAAGGAAGAGGTGAAAGTGTCCGTCTAGCAGTGTCAGGAAAGCGCAAGGTTACTTAAGTGATCCAGCTGCCTGTGCATTTCTGCCTACTTTCCTGTCGCCACGGGCCATTAGTTAGGCAGGTGGGGGGCTTGTCGTTGCGCTATAGCGGACCCTAGGTGCTACATTGGATCCAGTTTGTGGCCATTGTCCAACGGGTGTTTTCTGACTGAACTTCCGGAAACCCGGTTTTCTGCCATCAAGGTGTATCCGCTCGACCGAGTTGTTGGCTGCCTCAGCGTGCATCCAATGCACCTGTGTCTATGCAAGCTAATAAACAGACAGAGTTGCTTTGCACAGGCAAGGAGTCTTTCATTGATCTGACCCAGTCTGTGGTCACAGATCTCGACTATGTACCTACAGTATGGCGAGTGCTGCATGCAACATGCCTGAGTCTGTAAAAGTTTGATTATTACTCGCACACCGGCGTGAACGGATTTACGAAAATTTAGGAGCAATTATGAGGAGCATTGGGCATCTTAAGTACTTAAAAAAGTATAAGAATTAATAAGTGTTTGTTAAGAAAAATAAAATTTTCCCGATAATGCCCAAGTTCCGGAGACGAAAGAAAAAGCTATATGTAAATTAGAACAATTAATTTGAATCTTTTCGTAAGTTGAAAACGGAATGTAACCAATTTCTTCATATAAAATAACTTTTCTTGAGTCAAAATATTTTTACATATTACCTTTAGTGGATAACTATTTATTGAATATCGTCCAATAAAGTCTGTCATCATTTCGAGCGTTTTCAGTGTCTTCGTTGATAAACTGTGCTTCAGTTCGACGTTTACAACAAAACCTCTAAAATAAGATAAAAATAAAGAGCACTTACCGAAAAAATGAGCTTGTGGATATTAGTTCCTATGAAGATGGCCATAGCACAACGTATATTAATAAAAAGTTTAGTTCTGTCATACCTTATAACATAGGAAATTTCTTCGATATAAACTTACTCATGGTTAAGCAAAAATTAGTGCCAGTACGTTTCCAAAATAAAGCCTTTATCATTATCAAATCCAATAAGTTCATCTAAATAACCTGTCCAAATATGTGCTTACCTACCAAGTTAAATTTAGTCATTAAATTTGCCTGCAAGACTTGCCATACTGTATGTTTGGCGGCGGTTTTTACTCGTTCAGGCATCCTGCTTGCGCGCTTGGCGCTGATTGGCTTCTTTTTAACCAGTCAACGCGAGGCGGGTAAAATAGCCAGTCAGCTGGTGGTGGGGTAGACTGGAGTGCGGACAGGTCAACTAACGGTTATATTACTCGAGGGGCTTACGTAAGTGGTACGTATAGATGTGCTGCTTACTACAGCGTGCAAATACTGCGGAATATGCTTACAGATGTCATCGCATCCAACACTTACTGTCCAGCAAACGGGGAAATGGAAAGCAAACTAAAGGAATACTTTCAGGTTATAAAGAAACCAGACAGACCTCCATCTCCCAGTGCGTCCGTAGCTACCTTCAGTGGGAAAACCACCCCTCTATCCACCTTCTACAAGCCTATGGTCATCTGTGACATTGGTGATGCCCACCACTTTCCTTCAGTGGCACTGAATCCAGCGTCAGTCTCTAATGCTACCAATATCCTTCATTCCACTCACCGAGAGAATGGTCCGGCCTTGGATCTGGATCTTTTGAGACAGGTGGAGTCGAAAAGTTATCATGTACCCTCCAGAAGGAGTGTTCGCAGCAAATCCACGAAGCCGCCTTACTCCTACATTGCACTCATCACAATGGCCATTATGGACTCAACCTATCGACGGCTAACTCTCTCTGCAATTTGTGAGTACATCAACGGCAAATTCGAATACTACCGAGAACGCTTTCCAGCCTGGCAAAATTCCATTCGACATAATCTCTCCCTAAATGACTGTTTTGTTAAGGTGCCCCGCGAACCGGGCAACCTGGGCAAGGGCAATTACTGGACACTGGATCCCAACTCCTATGACATGTTTGAGAATGGCAGTTTTCTGCGGCGTAAGAAGCGTTTCAAACGCATCCGGATACAGGCAGCTTGCCTCTTGCATCCACTTATCTCCAGCGAACTCTTTAACCAGGTTATACTCCAGATCCAGCACGAGCGGTGGTCAGACCTACTGAAACCACCAGCGAGCATTCCCTGTATGGGTTTGCCTTCTCTCAACGAGAGGAGAGA